TCCCGCAGACCCTCTGCTGTGCCACCATCTTCCAGGAGACACCTCAAAACTTCTAGTCTTGCTAGAACCTTCTCTCCTTATGCAGCTTTGAGAAGGGAAAGGTCAGGTGCAGTCACATCAGGTCACCCGAGTACGCTCCCTATAGGACTTGAGGACACAGAGCCCAGGAGCTGGGTCACTGACGGTGGGAGGCAGAACCGGGGACCCATCCCCACCCAGTGGCAAGTTGCCAGGTCCTGCTGAGCCACTGACGAGCACGCCCTCTTGCACCATGCCTCTGCTTGCATCAGGATGAAAGCCTTGCCCTGGATGTCACACAGCGGCTTATACATTTGATCTCATCCCACCCTCTGCCCTGTTTTCCAAGCCTATTGGCAGACCTGGAAACCAGGGGAAAACCAAGGGAGCCCAGCTTTGTCGAGACCAGAGCCATGGGCTCATGATGGAGGAGCACAGAGGGCCACTTCCTGGTCCAGGACTCTGACCTCCACCCAACCTCCTCAACACTGACAACTTGCCCAAGCTCTGGCTCTATGGACATGGATGCTACCAGCCCCAAGCAGGCTCCCAGGTAGGTACCTCTGCCTTCTTTCCCAGGATGGAAGACCCTAAAAATGTCCTCTCTTCCAGCTTTTATGTCACTCTAGAAGGATGTTCTTGGCCCTTCTGACTGTGCCAGGTCCCTTTGTGCCCAGGCATAATATCCTAAGACTAGTTTCTTGGTAGTAAGCAGGCAGGATAACAAGACACAGGATAGTGAGGGTCCCTCTGGGGCAAACCCTTTCTTCAATAACACAGGATGGACCTGTCTCTCCTTCTGCTATTTCATAGGTGTAAGATGGTCCAGAGCCACTGCAAGGAGAAGGAAGGGAGGGAGGGAGGGAAGGAGGGAGAGAAAGAGAGAGAATTGTGTGTGCTTTCTGTAATGTGTTGTGTTTTTGCATGTGTGCTGTTATGCATATTGTATGTGGCACGTGTGTATTGTATGTTATATGTGATATGTGTGCCTTTTGTGAGTGTGATCCGTGCTAATTGGGTCTGGAACTGAACAAGGAAGGGTGTGAGCTGCGTGTCCTCCTATTCCCAGCTGTTTGGGGGAGAACTCTCCATTTTCCTGGGTTCCTGTTCTCTCTCCCTTCTCCCTTCTCTGCGTACACTTTCCCCCACCCTGCCCCATCCATCATGATGCTTTTGAGCTTCCGTTCTATGCACGCAGTGCAGGGCCAGACTCCTGACCCACGTCACCTGTTGTGCCTTATCTGACTCCGACTCTGTCCAGAGTCATAGAAGGGAGCAGTCCCTGAAGGGCTCTGCTCGGGCACAGTCTCCTGTGTGCAGGGCACGGGTGATTCCCACATGGCCTGTGGAATGGGTGCAGAGGCAGACACAGGAGGTGCAAAAGGAGAAAGGCATGTTGCAAGGGCAGGGGCCAGTGCAGAGCATCTACCCACAGTTCCTCGTCCTGCTTTTGTGCTGCTTCCTGTGCTCTTACCGGTTCTACTCACAGGAAGCAGACTCAAGCCTTGGGAACACGATGAGGACAGCTATCTCTCCCCTGCTCAGCACGGCAGAGGAATCCCTACCCTGGCTGTCAGACCCCCCAGTCAAAGAAAAACAGAAGTCGCACATGGTGCTACACCCCCGTAATCCTAGCACTGGGCAAGCAGGGACAAGAGGACCACCATAAATGTGAGGCTAGCCTGGTTTGCATAGGGAATTCCAGGCCAGGTTACACAGACCAGGTTATGTAGTCTCTCTCTCTCTCTCTCTCTCTCTCTCTCTCTCTCTCTCTCTCTCTCTCTCTCTCTCTCTCGGAAAGGGGAGGGTTGTAGCTGAAAGATGCTCAGAACTTACACTCGCTGCCCTTTGTCAGGACCCAAGTTTGGCTCCCAGTCCCCAGGTCAGACAGCTCACAAATGCCTAGCTCCAGAAGGTTGGACACCCTCTTCTGGCCTCTGTGGGCACCCATACACACATAGCATATACTTAGAGAGACAGATGGACCCTGAGACCATAGGATAGACCCCAGGACAGACACCCCCAGGATAGACCCTTAGGACAAATCTCGAAGCTAGACTTTCAGGACACACCCTCAGGATGGACTCCCCCATCTGCAAGGCAATATCTCCTGGGCAGAGATCCATGCCAATCTTCCAAACACACAAGAGTGCCTTTCAGGAATCTCTTTGTTACTGGTGGTCAAAGTCGTCTAGGAGTTTCCAGGTTCTTGGCATCTTATTCAGAAAACTCAAATAAAGACACACGTAGGTTAGCAAAAGTGGAGAGGACTTTATTCAAAGCAAAGCAGTAGCGCAGGTCCTCAGAGAGCAGTGGGTCACGTGAGCGAGGGTACTGCAGGGCTCCAGGTCCTGTCTGAGGCTTTCCTTTTATGAAGTTCAGAAGGAGGAGTTTAGTTGCTAGGTGTCATGTGGGTGGGTCTTTGTTTTGATTGACAGCCTCGGGTTATGCAAGCCTTTGCTCACTATGCATATCCTTTCCAATAATGCATCTGATTTTAATCATATTTATGCCCAATTATGCCTCGGTCTAAGATGGCAAATAGCTTACTCAGGAACACAGTCTAGTCTTACTGTGCATGTCACCCCAAAGTGGTCTAGGATGGCTCAGCCCATCTCGGTTTCAGGATGTGTTCTAGGATACGTCTGGATAGAAATGGTCATTATTAAGGGGCGGCCAAGGAGAGGAACTTATTTCCATTACTTCAAGCAGGTGTACGTGCATCCTGGCACAGGTGGGGTCCTGGCTTGCTAAGCTAGTTCCTGTTTGTGCCAAATCTCTGCATCCAGGGCAGCACAACTGCTTCCTACGCATGGAGTAGAGAACAGAAGCCCCTAGTAGACCTTCAGCCCTAGCCAGAAGATAATCCCTTGCCTCAAAACACATCCCAGTTCACGCTAGAAGCATCCCAATGCCACCTGGCATTTTATTCAATTACTATATTGCATTTTGTACTGTTGTCTCATTGTCCGTACACACTCATGTACGTGTATGAGTGCATGCGTGCTCTCGTATAATTCATACTTTTTTTTTTTTAAGAGCCCGAGTCTCATTTAGTACAATCTATCCTTGAACTTGCCCTGTAGCTGAGGCTGGCCTTGAACTTCTGATCCACCTGCTTCCACCTTCTTAGTCAAGGTTTCCTCTTTCTCTTTCTTTCTTTCTTTCTTTCTTTCTTTCTTTCTTTCTTTCTTTCTTTCTTCCTTTCTTCCTTCCTTTCTTCCTTCTTTCCTTCCTTCCTTCCTTCCTTCCTTCCTTCCTTCCTNTCTTCCTTTCTTCCTTCTTTCTTTCCTTCCTTCCTTCCTTCCTTCCTTCCTTCCTTCCTTTCCTTTTGGTTTGTTTTTTTGAGACAGGGTTTCTCTGTGTAACAGCCCTAGCTGTCCTGGAAGTAGCTCTTGTAGACCAGGCTGGCCTTGAACTCACAGAGATCCACCTGCCTCTGGGATTAAAGGCGGATGCTAACACTGCCCAGTTTAGTCAGGTTTCTATTGCTGTGATAAACACTATAACCAAAAGCAACTTGGGGAGGAAAGGGTTTATTTCTGCTTACAACTCTTAGGTCCATCAAAGAGGAAAGTGTTAGGTCCAAAGGAAGTTCCAATTCCCCAAGCTCTAAAAGGCATCCAAATACCTAGAAATGGGTTCAACCTGGACTATAGGAGGATTTCTGACAGTTAGATAAAAGCCAGCTTTCCTCAGGAACTTGTGAAACCGCTTCCCATCTACCAAGGGAGTTATTTCCTCTTACCTTGGGCAGAAGGGACATATGGCTACCTGTATTACCTTTTAGCACATCCAAGCACATGTACCTCCAGGAGCCCTCTGTATCACATGTACCTGTTACACATTCCAACATCCATGTCGGCATCCTAGCTCTTCTCAGTTCCTGCTCTATCCTAACCGTCCTCCAGCTCATGGGCCTCCTTCCCTACAACGTCTCCGTACACTCCTGCTATTCTTGTCCCCGTGCCCCGACCTGGTCTCTGTTTTGCTCCTGCTCCTCTCACCATGAATTCTCTGTCTCCTGCTATTTCCTCCTCTCTTGCAGAGAGCCCAGTTCAGGTCCAATCTGCTGGCTGTGTTCTGTGTTATGGGAGCTATTTTTGGTCTTTTTAGCCAATAGCCTTTGAGATACCAGCCCACTGGGATGTGGTATCTTTCGCTTTAAAAATAAGTGGCGGCAGCTCTCTGGCTCTCTTGCTTGTTTTGGATTCTGCTTCTGGCTATCAGACGCTTTTTCTGGTCGTGCAGGAGGCTGTTGTCTAGGACGGTGATATGTAAGTTTTTTTTCCTTTAAATAAATAACCCTTTTATTAATCATAATTCCTAATTGGTGTGGGATTGTTTTGTTTTGTGACTTACTCCTTTAGTTCTGTCTACTTTCGCTCTGAACTCTTCCGGATGTCTCTGGCTGTTCTTTCTCTTATATCTATAATAGAAACCTTCCCCTTAATCATGCCTTAGGTGGTCATGTCATCAGTTTATATGGAAAGCCAAGGTAGGAACCTGGAGACAGGAACGAAGCAGAGACTATGGAGGAATACTGCTTACTGGCTTGCTCCCGATGGCTTGCTCAGTCTGTTTTCTTATGCAACCCAGGACCACCTACACATGGGTGGCACCTTGAGCTGGGCTCTCTTATAGCAATCATCAATCAAGAAAATGCTCCCACAGGCCGGGTGGTGGTGGGGTATACCTTTAATCTCAACACTCAGGAGGGAGAGACAGGGGGATCTCTGGAAATTCGAGGCTAGCCTGGTCTACAGTGCGAGTTCCAGGACAGGCTCCAAAGCTAGAGAAACCCTGTCTCGAAAAGAAACAAAAGAAAAAGAAAAGAAAAGAAGAAAAATAAAAAGAAAGGAAGAAGAAAAGAAAGAAAGAAAATGCTCCCATACGCTTGCCTACAGGCCAATCTAACTGAGACATTTTCTTAATTGAAGTTCCCTCTTCTCAGATGACCTCGGCTTGTGTGAATTTGACATAAAATCTAGCCAGCACACTTCCCAAGTGCTAGGATCACCATCCCCAACCTTTTGAACGTAGGAAAAGCAGTGTGTGTGTGTGTGTGTGTGTGTGTATGCTCAGGTGTGGAGGCTGTTGGATATTCTGATCTCTCAAGCTCCGTTTTATTCCCTTGAGACAGTGTCTCTCACGGAACCTGAAACTAGAGCCCAGCCGGTAAAGCCCCAGTGAGTCACCTCCTGTAACACTGGGGTCACAGGTGCATACAGCCACAGCTGGCTTTTCACGTGGGTGCTTTGGATTCGAACTCCGGCCCTTATGCTTACGCAGCAAGTGTCACACGCTGAGCCGTTGCCTCAGCCCCTGAGAGAAAAAAAAAATTCAGCCAAGCATATACATTTCTGATTGAGCACTTAGGAGGCATGAGTAGTTGAAGGCCACCCTTTGCTACATAGTGAGTTTGGAGGCAGCCTGAGCTATGTGAGACACTGTCTCAAAAATTTTTAGAAATGTAATTTTAATGTTAGCATTGGGTTTACTTTTATGATTTGGAACTGGCCTTTGAGATTTTTATAGAGCACATACTGCCCTGTATACATATCTAACTTGGTGACACACTCATGTGACCACCACTCAGGTGACATTGCAGAGAATTTCTCATTGGCCCAGGAAGGTCTCCTGTGTCTGGGCTCAAGCAACACCTTCCAGAGATCAGCCCCGTGATCACTTATGCTGTTGTTAGGGACAGAGTCACCCTTAGTCCAGCTGGCGTGGAACTCACCGTGTAGCTCATGCTGACCTCAGAGCCATGGACGGCCTCCAGCCTCAGCCTCTGGAGTGCAGGGATGGCCAGTGTGAGCCCCCGACGGTCACTTTATCTCCATTCTCAGGTCTGTCCTTTTAAAACATCGTACGAGTGTGGAATCCCGATTTTCTGATCCATGCTGTTCTGGGGGTCCTCTGGAGACACTCTGGTACCCTAGGAAGCAGCCTGCTGCGTCATCCTCTGACTGGCACGGTTTGTCTCTGATGGAACCCCTCCTTTTGTAAATCTGCTTGATTGATGAGCAGGAGAGGTAATTAGAGTACTATGAGGGGGATCTGAGGGCCTAACCCCAGAGTCTGGTAATGCTCTTGCTGGGTGGGGTCGAGCTTCAGAAGCCCCCCTGGCTCCAGATGTCAGAGGGCCGGAGCGGGGCTGTGCCAGAGCGGGGCTGTGCCGGAGCAAGGCTGTGCCGGAGCCGGGCTGTGCTGGAGCGGGGCTGTGCCATAGCAAGGCTGTGCTGGAGCGGGGCTGTGCCGGAGCAGGGCTGTGCCGGAGCAAGGCTGTGCTGGAGTGAGGCTGTGCCGGAGCCGGGCTGTGCCGGGAACCAGGAGCCTGTGCTTGTACTTGCTCCCTTCACCCTGCTTTCCACCAGGCCCAGGCTCGCTCCTTATGCGGGTGGGTCTGCAGGCACATCAACCTTTACGTGGGCTCCACCACACCTCCACGGCTCTCCATCCTATAAGGGAGGGACAAGGAAGGGTGATGGTTCTCAGAAGGGCTCCAGGAAAAACAGAGTCAAGTCCTGGAAGCGAGAGGTGTGTCAGAAGAACAGCACACACCGGGGATGCACCAAGCAGGAAACAAGCACAACCCTGGAGTTTCTGTTCCCAGTGCCCTGGAGCCCTGCAGGAAGGAGGAGGTGGCCTTTTCAGTCTGAGTAAAACCTAAGCGAAGGGGAAGGATGATGGAGTCTGAGGTCAACTGGGATACACAGTGAGCTCCAGGCTAACCTGGGCTACATGGTGAGATCCTGTCTCAAAAAAGGAGAAGAAGAGAGGAAAGAGAGAGGGGAACGGAAGAAAAAAAGAGAGAAAGAGACACATGGCGGAGGAGGGTGGGCAGACAGACAGACAGACATCATAAAGCCGGGCATGAGGAAGGAGTAGACGCTGAGGTGAACGGCCCTAAGCAAGCAGTGCTAAGGAGCCCTGGACAGAGACTCAGGAGGGTCAAATTTCTCTAAGGTTTCTGGGAAGAACTGGTGGAAGGATCCGTTAACCCCCTAGTTAGTGACAAGGTGAACAGAACTTAGCCTGTGTGTAGAGAGCACCAGATTGGGCATGATCCCCCAGATTGGGCATGTGCCCCCAGATTGGGCATGATCCCCCAGATTGGGCATGATCCCCCAGGCTCTGGGCTCGCTTCTCCAGAGCTCCTCCATGTGCCTCCCGTGGCAGTCTTTCCTTGTAATCCCCACTGGCCAGTTCTAGATCCAAGGTGATTATGGTTTCCAAACCAGTAACAGAAATGAAATTCCCTGACAGGTGTATTTTAAAAGGACAGAGTTGGTTTCATTTTTAATTAATTTGTTATTTTGTTTTAGTTTTTTTTTTTTTTGAGACAGGGTCTCATGTATCCCCCCGCTGGGTTCAAACTGTAGCTGAGAACGTTGAACCCCTGATCCTCCTGCCTCCACCTCCCAAGTGCAGGAATTACAGGTGCTCGCCACCATGGCCATCTCTATTTTTTTTCTTTTTAATTACACATAATGATCACATATATTCCTGGAGCACAGTGTGATAATTTGGTACATAATACAGGGTGTAATCATAGGGCAGAGGCAGGGTTTTCATTCGTGTACACTATTACTGTTGTTCAATATCTTTTCAAATTCCCCCCTTCGTGTTCTTTACAAAATATGCAAGGAAGTCAGGCATGGTGGTAGGCGCCTGTGGTCCTATCACTTGGGAAGCTGGGGCAGGAGAACGGAGAGTTCAGAGCTAGTCCGGGCTACAGAGTAAGACCCTGTCTCAAAACTAAAGCTGGGCGTGGCAGCTCGGGCCTGTGATCCCAGCACTTGGGAGGTAGAGGCAGGAGGATCAGGAACTCAAGGCCAGTTTTATCCACCTGAGATCCCCCAGCTTTAGTCCCCAAACAAGCTTTAGTCCCCAAAACTAAAGTTTGGGATTAAGGTATTCGGTACCATGCTCCGTCTTTGTGTGTGTGTGTGTGTGTGTGTGTGTGTGTATACTTTTTTTTAAGGCAAGGTCTTATATAGTAACTTCTAGAACTCCCAGGCCAGTCTGAGCCGCTTTGAGTGAGGCTCATCTCAAAGAAACAAACGGATTCAGGATGTGAGATTTCTGTGTCCTGTTCCTCACTTGCAGATAGATTTTATCCATTCCTCCATCAAAGTCATTACACACATGTTCACAGTATTTCCGTGGCCACATAAAGTTTAGGGTCGATGCAGTGTGGCTAGGGCAAACATGGCTCCTGACTTCAGCAGATACCTGGGCTTCTCAGTGGTCACCCCACAACAGACACAGGGCACAGCACTCTTTTTTTTCTCGAGACAGGGTTTCTCTGTAGCTTTGGTGCCTGTCCTGGAACTAGCTCTTGTAGACCAGGCTGGCCTTGAACTCACAGAGATCCGCCTGCCTCTGTCTCCCGAGTGCTGGGATTAAAGGCACACTGCCCGGCACAGCACTCTTTAAAGCCAAGGGTGGGTGGAGGGACGCTAGGGCTGGTGTTGGTTTCACCTTGTATAGTAAATGCCTGTGGCTGCCTGGGCCACCACAGGTCTCCTGGCTCCGTTCTTTTTTTGTAGCTGGGGACTGTGGGTTGTTTTGATAGCTCCTGAAGCTTGAAGAAGCATGCTTGCCTCTGCTCTGGAGTCACTGTGACGACATGGTTCTCCAGGGCAGGGCAGCTGACAGGAAGACCCAGTGCAAACTTCCTCCATGCAGGGAGAACTCAAGGGAGTTGTTTCCCAGAGGGCCCACCCTTTTTTAAAGGGATGGTTGCTGGGAATTTCAAGCACCATTTTCCAACAATACATGCAGTTAAGGTGATGGGCGCGTGTATCATACTGAATCATGTGCACATACACAGAATAAATGTAAATAAGTATACTACAAGGGGGCAAAGAGGGAAAACCCGAGACTTCTGGTTTCAAAGTCAGGATCCACTTCCTTAGTCCTAGAGATGAGTGAGTCCAGGGGGTGGAAAGAAACCTGGATTCTGGTCATGGTGATGTGTGAGAGTGTGTGTGTATGTGTGTGTGTGTGAGAGTGTGTTTTTGTGTGTGTGTGTTTGTTTGTGTGTGTGTTTGTTTGTTTGTTTTTGTATTTTTTTGTGTGTGTGTGTGTGTGTGCGTTTCATTCCTCAAAAATAATTCGAAAGCCAGATGCCCAGTGCCCTGGTTCACAGAGGGAGTCTGGAGTCAGGCAGGCCCTGAGGAAAGCAGACAGAAGTAGGTTGTAAAGCTGAGTCGAAGGGTGAGCAACCACAAGTCCAGACGAAACCTCAGCCCCTGGCCCTGGCCCTGGCCCTGGCCCCAGGCCTGGTGTCTGTGATGACTGCAGAGGACAACCTGTCCACATGTCCGTCCCTCTGTCTACTCATCCACTCCTCTACCCACCACCTTCCCCTCTGCTCATTGCTCCCCGCTCATATCCCTCGGCTGCTCTGAGAACTCCCCGGAGCCAGGCTCTGAGCAGACAGAACTGACTTCTGATTCATGCCGGATACCCAGGTTGAGCAATTATCTAACGTACCGAGGACAAACAGGAACTCAGGAACACGGTGATGGGTGGAATGGGGTGAGAGAGCAGTCAGTCATACACAGGTGGCAATCCCTCTGCCTCCATTTGCTGCAAGGCGACTGACTACGTGTTCCGTGGTAAACTATGTTCCTGGAGAAAGTTACCTAATCGATTGTTTCTTCACCAACATGGGGACAGACACAAAGGAACAACCTGTATTAATCAGCTCAAACCATGTTAGAAAATACATAGAACATGGTATGTCTCATAGAGGATGGATGTCTCAATGAAGGTATGGAGGGTGGGCCTTGGTCTCTCAATGTCTTCATGTCCTCGTCAGTATTCCCTTTCCGTGGGGGCATCCCTGATGTTTCTCTTAGTGTTCACATTTCTTCTTCTTTTTTAAAAACACATTATTATTATTACTTTTTTGAGAATTCCATACAATGTGGTCACTTCTAACTCTTCGCCCAAACTTCCCAGGCCTCCCTTCTCCTCCCTTCTACTTTTCCTGTGTGTGTGTGTGTATGTGTGTGCGTGTTTTTCTGAGACTATCTCAAAGTAGATGCCCTGGTCCTTTGGCCCTTACAATCTTTCTGCTCCCTCTTTCTTGAGCTGTAGTTGTAGGGATTGTGTTGTAGATGTATCTTTTGGGGCTGGGTACCCCACAATCAGTTGCTCTCTTCACTTTGATAAGTTGAGGCTTCCCATACTGGTCTCTGTGAGCTGCGAAAATTAGTTTTTTTTTTTTTTTTTTTTTTTTTTTTTTTTTTGGTGAGGGATGAGAGCGACGCTTAGCTGTGGACATAAGGATGAGTATTTAGGATGCAGTTAGAAATTACGCCGGTTTAGGAAGGAGGCGGTAGTAGTTCTCCGGTAGGCTCCACTTCTTAGGAGGACATTGCGGGAAGACCCACCCTCACACTTCATGTTAACTCAGTCATCTTTTCAAAGAAAGACCACCACCCCTAAACAGAGTTGAGTTCTGAGATCGTGTGTGTTAAAGTCTCAACATAGGAATTTTGGGAAAACACAATTTGTCCCATAACAGATAATAGCTTTGAAACCAAGAACTCAACTACCACAAAACACACACCTTTGATGGGCTCCCAGAGGGAAGGCATGGTTTGCCTCTCCCTCAGCGGAGCCAGAATTGACAGGAACTCATCAGAAGAGAAGCGTGGAAACACAAGCTCATCGCCTGGTAAATTTAACTTCAAGGAGCCAGGCCCATCTCTGAGAGGCAACCCTGTGATGATCCTTTGGGTCTTGGGAACCTGGTGACCTATCTCGCACTTCTTGGGGACTGTTGCTTTATTATACAAGGTTTCAGGCTTCCAATCTTCTGTCTTTCACTGTGGTACTGAGTTAGGGGTCTTCTCATTGCAGCAGAAAGTCTATCTACCTCAAATGGTGGCGGACATGGGGAAATCCCATGTGGTGGGCATGTTTACCTCACTGTGTGCATGGCAGTGCAGACACGTGTATGTGTCACTCTCTGAGTGAGAGGCTTTGGTACCTGAAGGGCATTTTTGTGGGCTAGCAGGAAGAGTGGCAGGTCCACTCGGGAGGACCCATGACTAAGGCTCTCTTGGGTTGGGGAGTGCCTGGGATGTTGCATCATGGGTCCAGTGATAAAACTTCTTCAGATCAAGGGCTATGGCCAGTCTTCCTTCACCCCTAGTCATTTGCCTAACTGCCACATCCACAGCTATGTTCCCAAGCTGGCTGGCTCTCACCCTCCTGTCTGTGCTGAGCTTGGATACCCAGGCCTTCAACAGCCAGCTTGTCAAGTGCTTTGAGGACCCGCAGTATGAGGAGCTGCTGCAACTGGCTCGAAATGGACTGGGGCAGACAGCAGAGAGGAAGCAGGTGGTGGTGATTGGGGCAGGCATGGCTGGGCTCACTGCTGCCAAGATCTTGCAGGATGCTGGCCACCAGGTACGTGATGGGGCAGGGGAGAATCTCTTGTGGGAGGATTGGGCTCTAAGCAGGGAGGTAGAAGGCCAAGCTGCGGACATTCCTGGGGAGCTGGGGCCTAGAGGAAGCTCTAGGGCTCTAGAGTAGCTGGAATAGGAGGGCAGATAAGCTCACCCAGTAATCAAGAGTGGCTTCCAGAAAGAGGCAGGATGAAGCTGGGGCTGTAGCTCAGTGGTAGAATGGGGCACACCCTATAGTTTCCATCCACAGCACTGAAAAGGAAAGGAAAGAAGGAAGGACAGATAGAAGGGAAGGAAGGAGGGAGGGAGGAAGGATAGATGGGAAGGAGGGAGGGAAGGAGGGAGATTAGGAGGGATAGGGTGGTAAGTCTGGATCTGCCACAGGGGAAGAGAATTTGTACGGAGGATATGTGACAAGGCTCACTGAGTTCATTAAAGAACTGTACCTTTCCAGGTGACTGTCCTGGAGGCCTCAGGGCGCGTAGGTGGCAGAATCGAAACCCACAGAGTTCCTGGAGCACACTGGTACATAGAGCTGGGTGCCATGCGGATCCCAATCAACCACAGGTAAATAGGGGGAAGGCCAGGATGAGGGCTGTCACACCGGAAGGACAGTGGATGGAGCTCTTTGCTGGAAGTCCAGGGGTTAGGGTCTGACTCAACTGATTTCCCAGCCCAGGAGCGTCTCCCAGCCTCAGGTTTAATCCACATAAGGAGAAAGCTGTGCTAGGTTTGACTGCCAAGGAGCATGAGTTCAGGATCAGAGAAGAAAGGTGGTCCAAGATAACCCTGCTGGGAAGTCAAAAGCAGCCTTCTGAGTGTGTAAATGAAAGGAAGCCTGGTATCCTTCCAGGAGACTCTTTCTGAACGGGTGAGAAGTATGGAGAGGTTCAAGAGTACTGAACGTAGCCTCCAGGAAGGTTGGCCCCACAGACACACTCGGCACACCACCCTCATTGTGCCCCCAGGAACTGGGATGTTCAGGAATGTTCACCTTTGAAAGTGTGAAGGCTGCAGGTTCCGCACAAAGTGGCCGAGATCTCAGCCATCATAGAGGTCCACTGGCAGGAAATCCAGCTCCCTCTTGGCCTTACAGCTTCTAGTCTAGTGTAATGCCCAGGGTGCCTGGCATCCCTCTCGTGGAGAAAGGCCAGGGGTGGTCTTGGTGAATCCGAGGGAGGCAGGAGGTAAGCCCGGGGAGCAGGAAGTGCTGTTGGCTGACTCTCAGAGCCTGAAGTCCCTGACCCTCTTCACAGGCTTTCTCATGAGCTCATCAGGAAATTTGGGCTGACGCTAAGGGAATTCTCTCCCTGCAACAATCAGACCTGGGTGCTGTTGAACGGAGTCCGGCAGCGCTCGGGGGAGGTGCAGGCCGACCCTGGGCTTCTGGGTTACTCACTGAGAGCTGACGAGATGGGGAAGACGGCAGAACAGCTCTTTGATAAGTCGCTGAGGAAGGTAAGGCAGAATGGAGAGCAGCCCCCCTCCTCCCCTCCCCCAAGCCATCCGGCACAAACACCCTCAAGTTCCTCTGATTCTCCAGGGAGGAGCTTTAGTGGACCCCAGATCCTTGAGGGCAGGAAGCCCACACCAGACTGAACATCACTGGCCTCCACTCCCTCTCATGGCTCTGTCCTGTGTCAGGCACCTGCTCTGCAGTCAATATACTCTCAGACCCCAGACTTCGGTGCCTGTACAGACATATACAAAGTAGCTACTGAGAAATCGTCGTGCTGGGACCAGGTTCATTTCATTGAGAGCCCTGCAAGCTCTGGGGTTGAATGCGCTGTGTGACTCCAGGCATAATACTTGCCGGCTCCCTCTCTCTTCTCCATTATTGCCAGAGCCTCCTGTGCCTGGGTTGCTACGAGGAATAGGTGACAGGACGCGTTAAGGTGACAAAATGGTGCTAGGTACAGGACCAGTGTTCCTTTACTGTGCAGTCGTAATGGCTGGCAGTTTGTCAAGGAAGAACAATTAGCACTCTGCCTCGACTGCCTGCCCACCTTCTCTACTTGGCCCAGCAGTGACCGTGCCAGTGCCTTCTCTAATCCATGGCCTGGAAGGACCTCAGGACGACAGCTGAGCTCAGTGGGAGGCCCCTTCCCAGGTGTCCCCCAGTGTTGTCCTGCTGTGGTTCACTTCAGGTCAGCATACCCAGCCTCTCTCAGCAGCTCTGTGGGGCCAGCCTCTGGTGCCTACACGCTTCACCGTGACCTAGAAGTCCACAGAAGTGTCCCCTACACTGGGCAAGGAGGTAGACTTGAGTCAGAACCTCAAGGCTGATGGGGGAGCCTGGACACCTACATTTGCATACCTGGTATCCATGCGAGGTGAAATTCCCACCATCCCAGATTTAGGACACAGTTTTGGAAGGCAGGATTCATTAAAGTGTGACACACACACACACACACACACACACACACACACACAGGCTGTTGAACAAATGTAGTGCATGGGGAAGGGGGAAGGACAGGGCGGGTTAGACAATCTCTTGGGCCGACCCTCACCGCACGTCCTCCCTGTCCTCTTCCCTCCTGAGATTGTGGAAGAGCTGAAGAACAGCAGTTGCCGTGAGGTCCTGGAGAAGTACGACTCCTTTTCCACCAAGGTCAGTTCTGAGACCTTACGCCCTGACACCACCCCAGCGGGACTGCTACCTGGGGCGTATTGCACTACACTGTACTTGTCTAGTTTAACTGTCTGCCCTGGCAGAATGCAAGCTCCATTAGGGGAGGAAGGGAGGGAGGGAGAGGGAGGGAAGAAGGGAGGGAGGGAAGGAACTAAACAGAGACCCTCCAAGGAGGGCAATCAAGGCTACTTAGTCACAGCTTGCTGTATCAAGGGGGTCATCCATAATACCCACAGAACCAAGCCAGACAGAGGTATGGGAAAACCTTATATAGGTGTGTGTTGCTTAACAAGGTGCTAATGTCTCAGAATGTATCTTTAAATGATTGTATAGTTGTGCAAAAATCACAGTGTTTACTTGCATGAACCAAGCAGGCTACAGCGTTGCTTGCTGGGGACCACTGCCGTATGCAGGTTACCACTGATGAAAACATTTTTCGTAACACAGAACTATGGTGAAAGTCAGGAAAGGCCGGACCTGCGGTATAGCCCACAGGTGTAAGAGCTGGTCTGTCATGTGTGAGGCCCCGGGTTCAATCCCTGGCACTGCAGATAACAAAAACACAAGGAAGGTTCCAGGTGTGGCCTGATTGGAGGCTGTTGGCTCCTGGATGCTGGAGCTGGCTCACCCATGGGGCCTGGTGACTGGAGGGAGGGTGGTGGGTATTCTCCAGCTGATCCTGAGAGAGAAGCTGATAGTCACTTCCAGGTCCTGGCTGTGGTTTGCCTCCGTGGGCTGATTGCTTCAGCTGTTGGGTGGGTCAAAGCCTGTGGCCATGTGTGGTCTGACCATTGCTTACTCAAGAGAGAGATTAGAGAAGAGACAAGTCAGAGATCTCCAGGACCCACACCCCAGGGAACATGCCCTCAGATGTGGGGCAGAGATAACCTCTTTGAACCTTGGTGTTGGCGGTCCTAACAGATCCAGCATGTCTTCGGGAACCCTGGTGTTGCTGTCCCTAGGATTTCACGGCCCTCTGGTTTAGCCTCTGGGTTACACAAGTATGTTGAATAGTGGCACTTTTCCCAGCTGGCAGTATTTGGACGTCCTAGCAGGTTCTTTCAGGTCCCGCGTGTGCTGGTGACAGGGAGCAGCGCAGCCCCAGGCAAACCAGATGGCCACCCACTCTAACTGGTGAAGCCATTCCAGCCAGCATTGTCACGGCCATACGCCGGCTTTGTCTAAGACACAGAGCCGAGAAAAAAGCATAGGGCACAATCAGGGCAGCAGGTGCAGCATGAGCCAGCTCTAGGTCACTTGCTGATGGAGCGGCTGGGTCAGCAGGTGATGGGGCAGGGGTAGAAGGTCAGGGTAGGATGAGAACTTTTTGGTACTTAGATTCTTCCTAGCCTGGTCTTCTGTAGAAGCCAGACTGGGTTCACATGGGCAGACACAGAGACCGGGACTCAGTTTCTCCATCGGCAAAGCAGGAACCCTTATCATTATTTAGAGGATTGTATGGATGAACGGCTGACAGTGTGTAGGCTGAAAACCATACCTACTGTTACCTGTTGTCCCTAAGCAGGGACCAAGGGGATGCAGCCTTGGGGCCCAGGGGCTATACGCTTGTCCTTCTGCCCCATCCAGCTCTGTTCCTTGCTGTCTCTGGATAGCAAGGTTCACATGTTAGCTCCTTATACACTCTCATCTGCCTGCCTCATTTCCTCAGGAGTACCTGATCAAGGTGGGGAAACTGAGCCGCGGGGCTGTGCAGATGATCGGGGACTTGCTGAACACAGACTCTGGCTACTACGAGGCCTTTACGGAGACCCTGCGTGGTATCATCTCTTTCTTCCAAGAACCCCGGTGAGGAACAGGGCAGGACAGGGGGTCACTAGGTCCTGACGAGGATGGTAGTGAAAGGAGGAACTAAGAAACCGGGAGAAAAATTCCTCCAAAACTGGAAGCCAGTGTGGTGCTGGCTGCACAGTCCCAGTACTCAGAGGGCAGACAGGGGTGGATTTCTGAGTTTACAGCTAACCTCAAAAAGGGCGGGGTGGGGGAGGAGAAAGGAGGGAATCCTGACTCTCAGAGTCACTGGGGCGGATGACGTGTTAAACACCTGGGGTAGAGCCCGGAGGTGAGCCTTCCGATAGGCTGCCTTCCTTGGGACTCCACTCTGAGAACCTCTGGATACACTAAGGATCTATCAAGAGACTGTGAGCCTCATCTGCTCTGTGACAGGGACTGTGGCCTCAGCTGTGCTTCGAGGGATACTTGTCATCTTTCAGCCCAGGAAGACTTAGCAGGGATGCAAACCTGAGACTCCAGTCACCGTTGGTCACTGACCACGTGATCTGTAGCTATAAATATAAAAGGGCTCCAGGCAAGGTGGTGCGCACCTGTGATGCCACCTGAGGTAGGGGTGGGAGGATCTGAAGTTCCAGACTCAACAACAACAACAAAAAGATAAAGATAAACTGGTTTTGTGAAAAACAAAAATAAAAAAAACAGGCTACAAGACAGCTGAACGGAAGGCCCGGATATTGATTTATTTAGACATTCTGATCTTCTGGCAAGGACTCTTCTTGCTCTTCTTATCAATTTGAATACAAACCAAGAACCGCTCTGAAGGAGCGTGGGAGGGGAGGAAGTCCTAGGCAGACTAAGTAAAACAGCTCAGTAGTGTTTAGCTACTTTCCTTAAGCAGCCCCTGAGGGCATCACGGAAGGGGCTCTAAGAACCCGGGGCCAAGGCTGGGGCTCTGGCTCAGTTGCTAGACTGCTTGTCTAGCTCGTGAAGCCCTGGGTTCCTTCCTAAGCACCACTTCAAACTGGGAGGAGCAGCAACTGCCTATAACTTCAGAACCTGGGAGGTGGAGGCAGGAGGATCAGAAGTTTGATTCTGGGTGTTTGTCAGTTTCTGACCAGGCATCCTGGGTGTCGAGAGGAGATAAGCGGCCAGAGGAGGGGTTGTATGAGCTCAGGGTAGATGCATGTTTCCAATTTGGTCACCCCAGGGACCTTTCTCTAGGTCCTTGGAGCTAATGGACACTCTGCTTGCCCTTGGTTCTTTGCCAACAGTTCGTCCCCCTAAAACATGGCTGGGACATGCCTGTGAAGGGACTGAGTCATTGTCCAGTCCCAACGGCCTGTCCTCTGAAGGCCCTGTCCATCAACCCACTCATCTCCCTCTCTGCTGTTCACTCTCAGGTTCGATGAAATCGTTGGGGGCTTTGACCAGCTCCCCCAGGCCCTACATAATTCGCTCCTCCCAGGGACTGTCTGGTTCAACTCCCCAGCTGAGGAAGTGGAGATGTCTGGCGACTGTGTCCACGTGACCTACCGGACACCTGACCCTCTGCAGCCCAGGGCGCGGGTGACTGCCGATTTTGTGGTGGTAGCCAGCACTGCCAAGGCTGCCCGGCTCCTCCGATTCCAGCCATCTCTTTCTCTCAGCAAGCAGGATGCTCTGCGTTCCGTCCACTACAATAGCGCCACCAAAGTGGTCCTGGCCTGCACGCAGCGTTTCTGGGAACATGATGGCATCTTCAGTGGGAAGTCTAGCACTGACCGGCCTTCCCGCTTCATCTACTATCCCAACCACATCTTCCCCAATGGTGCTGGAGTTGTCCTAGCATCTTACACCCTGGATGATGACTCCTCTTTCTTCTCTGCCCTGGACCACACCCGGGTGGTGGACATTGTTCTGGATGACCTAGCTGCTATTCACAATCGCAACAAAGAAGAACTCCGTGCCCTCTGTCCCTACTCCACAGTCAAGAACTGGAGCCAGGACCCCTATTCCATGGGTGGCTTTGCCTTTTTCACCCCTTACCAATATGTGGACTATGCCCAGGAGCTCAGCCAGCCAGAAGGGCTGGTCTTTTTTGCAGGCGAGCACACAGATATGCCCCATGGCTGGATTGACACAGCTATCAAGTCAGGACTTAGGGTGGCAAAGAACATTCAGGAGGCTGTGGACTTGGCTCTGACAAGGAACCCCAGAAACACAAAAGAACACATCCCCAAAAGTGAACTCTAAACACCCATCTGGGCCTTAGGAACTACGGTGATTCCAAACAAGTCTGTCCATCGGAAGACGATACAAAACCCACTTTTACCCATCTTCGCTTTTGCTCAGATTTGACCCAAAGCCCATGATACCTGGATCTATGTCAGTAGATCAGGAAGAACTTGTATCACAGAGATAAAAACAATAAAGCAATTATTGAATTCGACGTTCATTGTTTTATTTTTATTTAAAAATTTTAAACTTAAATTTTATTTATTCTCTTTCTCTCTCTCCCTCCTCCCCGCGTGCGGATGCGTGTGTGTGTGTGTGTGTGTGTGTGTGTGTGTAAATGCCATGGTTCTAGTCCTGGAGGTGAGAGCATAACACTAGGGAGTCGGTTCTCTCCTTCTACTGTGTGGCTCCCAGGGATGAAGCTCAGACCCCTGGCTTGGTGGCAGGCATCTTTAGCCTCTGAGCCATCTGGCCAGCCCAAGTGTTTCCTGACATTCTAGAGTCACCTAAATAATTTTAGAGTTGTGTCCTGAGGGCAGATGAGACCCTTGCCTTTCTTGGGCCCTGGCTTTTATCCTTTATCTAGTCCTAACTCTCTGGCTTACTTTTCTATTGCTGTGGAGACACCATGACCAAGGCAGTTTACGGAGAGTGGGTCCATGACCATCTTGCTGGGAATCATGGCTGCAGACAGGCAGGTGTGGTGCTGGAGCAGAAGCTAAGAGTTCACATCCTTAGCTGAAAGGAGAGGGGGAGGGAAAGCTAACTGGAAGTGCTGTGGGCCACCCCAGTAACATGCCTGCTCCAACAAGACCACACCTCCCAGTCCTTCCCGAACAGTTCCACCAACTGGGACATCAAGTCTTCAAACATATGAGCCTATGGGGTTGTTCTCACTCACACCACTCCCCTCCCCTCCTCTTCTCAGTTCTCTCCCTTCCATGACTGAATATTTTTAAGACAAGGTTTCTCTGTGTAGCCTTGACTGTCCTGGAATTCCCTCTGTAGACCAGGTTAACCTTGAACTCACAGAAATTCACCTGCCTCTGTCTCCTGAGTGCTAGGATTAAAGTCATGTGCCATCACTGCCCAGCTCCATGACCCAATTTTGAGGGAAGTTGAGATGCTGGTCACTTGAGGCCACTATGGCCAGCAATATGTTCCATGGCTTCCTGTGTTGTTCCAACGGCCTCAGTGGACATACTCTAATAGTGTTTCTGGGATTTTCACAGTCAAGACTTGGGCCCTGGAGGCCCCAATAAGTCAGGCTTGTCCACCCATTCTTAACATACTGTTTAAGGAGACAAACAATGTGGCCAGCAAGATGCCTCAGCAGGTAAAGACACTTACCACAAAGCCTGCTGACTTGAGTTCAGTCACCAGGTTCCAAGTGGTTGGAGAGAACTGATTCACAAGTTGCCCTCTGACCTCTGCACACGACCCTAGAACATGCCCCCGCCTTCAACACACACCCCTGTAACTCCAGGTTCAGAGGATCCAATCCACTCTTCTGACCTCCACAGGCACTGCACACATGTAGTACATGTACACACACACACACACACACAGAGAGAGAGAGAGAGAGAGAGAGAGAGAGAGAGAGAGAGAGAGAGAGAGAGGCAAATACTCAAATACACTGAAAATATCTTTGGAAAGAGAGTAAGCCAGGTATGATAGTACACATCCTTAACTCCAGCACTCAGAAAGCAGGGACAGAGGAAACTCTGAGTTTGAAGTCAGCCTGGTCTACATAGAGAGCCCGACCTGCCAAGACTACCATAGTGAGACCCCGTGGAAACGGAGGATAAAATGGCTGGAAGCAGAGAAAGCAGATGTATTCGGTGTAGCCACGCGGGGAAGAATAAAGTCAGGCCGTCTGCAGGGTTGCTGATACAGTGTAGATAGAAGGCACCATGTCTGAATAACCAAACAACCTGTCAAGGTGTGGCCCTGCCCACACTGACCCATCAATGTCTCAGTTCTTCCCGGGAGACAAGCTCCATCTCTGCCTGGCGCCAGGCTCTGGCTTTTCCCCTCTCTCTGTAAGAGACTTCCAGAGGAATTCCAATCCCTTGGGGTCCATTGTCTCAATAGGCTAATGGTCAAAGACAAGGACCCAAGGGTCTCTCTGCATAACACCTTCATTCTCACCAAACCCGTCTAGCCGTCGTTCCAAATCCTCGGCTCTGTCTTATTCTCCTTTGTGCTCATATAACTAGTGATTCACACGGGGGACCTGTCACAATGATAGGTTAGGTGTTTGATGAATACAATGTCTCGGAAGGCCCAGGACTGCATTCTGATTTGTGCGCCCTACTCCTCCCTGTCCTGGCAGACCCAAGAGGAGGAGTGTAGAGATGGCAGAGTTGATGCTGGCGATGCCTTCTAATCAGAGAGATAACGAGATGAAGGGTGTAGAGATGGATGGATGTGTTCTAGACGAGCCCGTCATTTGGCAGTGACTTGGTCTGAATTTTGCCCTGAAGGGAACTCTTGGGGTTTTGAGTTAGTCACCCTGAGGGTCACAGGAAGAGACCAGGTGGCTACAACAGTGAGATGATAGTTCAAAACCAAAGACAACTAGGCACTGTCAAGAATCTGCTGAGACCCCAGCACTCAGGAGACAGAGGCAGGTGGATCTCTGAGTTTGAGACCAGCCTGGTCTACAGAGAGAGTTCCATGATATAATTTTCTTCGGGTAGGGTAGGCATTATTTTATCTCCTGGGGTTGTTCACCAAACCACAACCATGACAAACAGGCCTGGCCCAAACCAGCCAGGATCTCACCTCTGCAGCACACCCAGAAGGCATGTGGAGAGACACTCAGGCTACAGATTGTTTCTTCCAGGACTGACTCACCCGCTTTCTTAGTCTCTCTCTCCCTGCAGAGAGCAGTGAGCTGTGTACTCCCACTTTGGTCAAAAGCAGCTGAGGGAAGAAAGGGTCTAAGCTGCAGTCCATCACCGCGGGGGAGTCGAGGCAGGAACTCAAGCAGCTGGTCACAGGCAAGAGCAGAGGCATGGCCTGGACAGATTGGTCAGTGGTGCAGAGCACTTGTTGCTAGGTCTTGAGGACCAGAGTTTGCTTGCCAGGAACCATGGAAGGTGGCTCACAAACACCTGTGACTCCAGCTCTGAGGGTCAGTACTCGTCTAGCTTCTTTGGGCACCTGCACACACATGTGTGCATACATTCAAGAACATACACCCCGAAGCATAACAACGTGAAGCTAGAGACACGGCCCAGTGGTTGCTCTTGCGGAGGACCCATGTGCTGTTCCCAGCACCCACATAGTGGCTCACAACTATCTGCAACTCCAGCTCCAGGGGATCCAATGCCTCTGAGGGCACCAGTCATGCACATGGTAGACATATCTACATACCCACCTACATACATATGTCCATACATACATGGAGACAAAACACTCATACAAATAAAATAAATCTAAAATTTTAAAAATAAATAAAAATTTAAAGTTCTTTTTAAAAAGAGCAAAAAGAGAATAGATGGACGCATGCTTTGTACTTAATAACTTTCTTTAGTCTTATAGAAGTCAGGGCACCAAACCAGGGAGTGGGGCTGACCCTCTTCTAGACTGGGTCTTTCCAGGTGGTCTTTCCAGTTAAAGCAACCAAGACAATCTCCAACAGACACCCCACATGAGCTGCTGTTCGGGGAGGCCTCGGAGCCTCTTACAATCCAGCTCTTCGTTCTTCCTCTTGGGGTATCCACCAGAACTAGTTGACTAGACCCCGTTGCTGAAGACATCACAGGCACTCAAGGCGAGTTACAGAGAAATAAAATCTGCTGGCCAGTTGCCAGAGTGCAGGAAGGCGCAATGCAGGCGGCCGGGAGAAAAAAGCATCAGTGGTCTCTACCCCGCCGAGCTAGCTCAACCACCAGCCTTCCGGGTAAGAGGTGCCCACTAAAGCCATACCAGCACGGCGATTGCGAGGCAAACCAAACGCTCTCTGATAGGTTTTGAGGCCTGCTCCACAAAAGGGAACGCATGCCCGGCACTGCAAACTCAGGTAAAAACCTATGGCCAAGGAGGCTTAATGTTCTAGGAGGAGCTTACTAGTACTGTTTGGCTAAATCAGCATAGTGCCAAGGTGCCCTGTATGTACTGACATTCACATTCACCGACAAATGCTACTGTCAGTCTGAGGGGATCTTTACAATGAACGGCGGTGAAGGCAGAGACACGTGGCTGCTGTGGTACCGAGAGTAAGTGATGGTGGACGGCTCTGTTCTAAAGAGAACATTGATACCGCTCCCTCTCACAGTGCAAAGGAAGCAATGCAGAAGAGGGAGCGGGAAGACTGTGAGGCCAGAAGAAAGGGAGAAGGGCTGTGAAATTCCCTCTCCTGAGCATGGCATGACCATCGCAAGCATGGTCAAAGCCGCAGTGCCGACTGCATAAGGCTGGGCCTGGGTAAGACGTCAGTCATAGGTAGGGGAGGGGCTGCACAGCTTTACCTCTTCCTGTTGAACTATGGGGCTACTGATGGATTCTGGGGGTGGGGCAGAATTGTCTTCAGTTGTGCACCTACTGGTAAACCCACCAGGCTCCAGTGAACACCTTGAAATTCATGGTCACCCAGGCCTAGTTAAACCCAGGGGTAACAACAAAACAGGCGTGAATGGGAAAGAGACTTGGGGGCGGCAATAGGGGTGGAAAGGAGGGAAGAAAGGGCCAGGGAGTAGCAGAATGCACTACGGAATTATCAGAGAACTAAATGAATAGACTCCTTAAGGGGGAAATAAAGAATTTAGTCTCAGGACAGGAGCTGCCTTCCTAAAGTTCACTCAAATAACCCAAAGAGGCCAGGCCAGGGGACTTCTCTCAATTGCTGTGAAAACAAACAAACAAACAAACAAAAAACGAGCCCCTCTCAAGGAAGTGATTATTTATTAAAACTTTTATATCAATTCTCATCTGGTAAATTCTTTTGCCCCAATGCTTCCCAGGCAGATCCCTGTGTGCGAAGGTTACCCCTGAGTAGCAGAAGTCATCGTGAGGGAACCAGCTTCTTCCCTCAAGCAATAAGGACTTCTCTGAGCTGTCTTGCGGAGTCAGAGCACAATAAGGACCAACCAAACTACACCTTGACCAAGAGCAGCTATGCAGGCCTGGCTCCCTGCCCGACTTCTCCCCTCTTTAACCCTAAGGCTCACAACAGTGCCACAGGGCTGGGCTGGAATGCTCACCTTC